TTTTTTTTTTTATATTATTTTATAATTTATTTTTTTTATATTTTAATAAAGAGTCCTAGTTAGGCAAAGGATAATCATGATTATAATAATTATATAATCATATTATCAATCTGGTTGAACTATTTTATTTTATTTATGTTGCTATATATAATGTAAAAATAAATTACTCATAATTCAAAATATAAATTTCAATATTTTTATATTATCAATTTTTGTATATATTTTGATATCTAGAATTAATTATTCAAAGCTATATTTATATTATATTTTTATAAATATCTATATACATATATATATACATATATAAATTTTTATTCTTTTAAATTCTCAAGACATCCTCGTTTCATTTTGATTAATTTCTTGCTTTTGTTAATATTTTAAACAAAATTACTGACAAGATATTATTTTTAAGAATTAATTTTTTATTTTAGAAATTTAAATTAGAAATCTAAAATTTAAGATTATAGAAATTTATGCATATGAATCAAAATAAATCAATCAAATAGTACTCATTTTTTAAATAAATATCAATTATTATTTGGATTAAATTCAAAGTATTAGAAATTACTAGAAATTAATTTATCATTTTAGAAATAGTTTATTTAAGATTATTATATACAAGAATTTGAATTGATACACAATTATAAATTATTAAGATATTATTTTTCCAAATAAATATCTACTTGCATAAATTAGATTCAAAATATTATTATTGTGTAAATATTAAAAATTATAAATCTCTTTTGAATATACTACTCATTAGAAATAAATTACATCTTTAACAGATATCGACGAATGCGCGGAAGGTTTGGATTCTTGTGAAGGTGAGGTCTGTTATAATCAGCCGGGTGGTTATAGCTGCGCGAAACTTCCAAAACCAAGAACCAGGAAGCCACTTACGACAGCCTTACCACTACCAACGAATAAGAAATGTATTCCTGGAATGAAATTGGTTAACAATCGCTGCATCGACATCGATGAATGTCGCGAAATAGAAGATGCATGCAGTAGTAACGAGGAATGCATTAACACTGTAGGAAGCTATATGTGCGAGTGCAAAATTGGTTTTCAACGTGAGAATTTGACTCAAGCCTGCGTGGATATTAACGAGTGCCAAACACAGGTATGATCTTCCATGATCATGCTTTCAATAATGACATAATAATGATCAGAAATAAGTTTTATAAAAGGTTCTATCTGTAAAATTTTTTTTAAATTACAATTCTTGTAACGTATAGAACATGAAACTATATTCTCTAAAGATAAGTATCTATTTGAGAATAAAACTATCGCCAATTCCTCTCGAAAGTATTTAAAAGAATACAGTATTGAGAGTGATTATTCGAGAATAATACTCAATTGAGAGCGAGAATTTTTTAAAGTGTTCTTAAATAGATATAATTATAGATTTGAATAATAGTTTCGTATTTTGAGTTAAAATTGGTTGAGACAAACACGATATAATTTGAATAAGATAAAATAAGAAAAAATAATATAAATCTATTTTCAATGGTTCTAATGAGTAATTTTTATGGAAAAAATTCTTAAGTAAGTATAATTGAAAAATTTATCTAAAAATTTATTCATTTCATAAAATTGATTTGATTTCATTTATTATGAAAATCATTACAAATTGAAATACAAATTTTCTTTCAATTAAATTATTTGTTATATCTAGAAATTATGTAATTGAATTAATTCTAAAGAAAGAGATAAAATTTTCAATTTCAATGATTTCATCTTATTAAAATTTTTTGAATAAAATATATTTAACATACGAAAATTTAAACAATTGAAAAAACAACGATTTTGTATAAAAATTAAAACAACTCGAGTTATTTATAAGTTAAATTTTTATTATTGCTATTTTTAAAACTCGAATAATTAATTTTTTTTTCTTATGTATTTTATATATATATAT